AATATCGTTATTTGCTGTTCGGCATTCGCTTCGGTTTCGTTTTCATTTAAATTTATTTGTGTTACAATTTTTATGAAAACATGGAATCTAAACGTAAACGTTTTAAACTTGAATGTCTTGATTGTGGTAGTGTTTTTAATAATGACTATAAATTAAAACATGAACGCGATATGCATCAGGGGAAAAAAGTGAAAATACAACACTTTGGTGCTCCTAGCAACCCGTTTGCAGCATCAAAACAAAAAAAAAATAAAGAATTGGTAAGTTCGTTTGTTTGATTTTTTATTCTTATAATTTTTCAAGATGTAAACAAATTATTTATTTTGTAATTATAATACATTAAACATAAGAGAACTTATTAGTATACTTAATAGTGAAATGGTAATTATAATTGTAACATAATATTTATAATTTTTAAACATATTTACTAGTTTATATGCATTTTTATTTTTTTATATACCATTTAATATGCTTTTTTTTTTTAGCAAGCTGAAGAAATTTGTGAACCAGAGCCCAAATTGTGTAATGTTGTTCCACAAACTAGTATTGAAATGGTAATTATTACTGCAGCACTTTCTATAAAATAATGCTTTATAATATATAATGATAATAATTTTCTTGACTTTTTAATTCTAATTGTTGTGTTATTATTTCTGTTGTAGCAGTCTTCATGTGAAGTAGAAAAATCACCAGAATCATCTCTTCCTTCTACTAGTATGTTGTATTTGCAGTGTGTACCTTTAAAGTATCACATGAGTAACAAAATAACAATTATTTTTTTTAGTTGACGGTGATAATGAAAATTCTTGGATTACCTGTGTTGGTCATTTAGAAGCCATCAAACAAGATTTTTCAGAGTTAATTGATGAGTTAACAAGCATTAAAAATACCGAATTTCCAAATCCAATACACTTTTTGATAAAAAGTTCACATAGTGTAACTAGTATCAAAACTAAATTGGATAATTATGTAACACTAGCTAAAATTGTATTAGACGATATGACAAATTCTTGCAATGATTCTGAACCCATTACTGCGAGTAACAATTCAAATGATGCATTTGTGGATCATGACCCAGGTAAGCGTGTTGCAATTCAAACTTCATGTCAACGACAATTTTTAATTTCTTTGGGACCATATCAACCAAAATTGTCGTCATACCCAAAAGATACTAGTATATCTGCCTACAAGCAACAGCAGTTCACTTCTAAGTGGTTTATTGAATATCCAATGCTTGAATATAGTATTTTCAATGATTCAGTGTACTGTTTTGTATGTACTTTATTTCCTCATCGATGTGGTCATAGTAAAACTGCATGGGTAGTTGGTGGTGTAAGGCAGTGGCAAAAAATGAAAAGCCGTGGGAAGGATAAACAAGGAAAACTAGCCCAACATTTTTCATCAGCTTCACATAAAGAAGCCATGTTAGATTATTGTGCGTTTACTACTAAATCTAACAACATTGATGTTTTTTTCAATAAACAGTTACGGCAATCTGCTATACGTGAGAAACAAGAACAAGCATTTAATAAAGATGCAGTCAGTATTTTGATAGATTTAGCACGTACTTTAGCGAGACAAGGGCTTGCGTTTCGTAGTCATAATGAAGGTGCAAATGAATTACAAGATGGAAATTTTTATCAAATGGTTCTTTTACTTTCCCGTCACAATGCAATATTAAAAAGATGGCTTAATGATAAATCTATGCGTTCTCATAAAGTGACATATCTCAGCATGAAATCTCAAAATGAATTTATAGAACTTTTAGCTGCAGAAACACGTAAGAATATAGTTGAAGAAGTGTTAACATCTGATATATTCTCAGTTTTAGCTGATACCACACCAGATGTTGCACTTAAGGACCAATTATCTGTTTGTTTGAGGTATGTTGACCAAGGAGGATCACCAAATGAACGATTACTTGATGTTATTGAAGTTTCAGACAAGACTGGATATGGAATGGCAAAAAGTATATATGACACTTTGATAAAACATAAACTAAAAACTGGAAACGTAGCATTTCAGTCATATGATTATGCTAGTAGTATGAGTGGTGTTAACAAAGGAGCTCAACGTTATTTTTCTGAGTTAGTTGGACATAAAGTTCCGTATATTCCATGTCAAGCTCACAGGTTAAATACCTTCCTAGAACACGGATGTAAGGCTAGTCTTATAATTGGAAATTTCATTGACATTCTTGAAAATATTTATGTATTTTTCTCAGCAAGTACAAAAAGATCAAGTAATTTAATGGAACGTATGGATAAAATCGAGGGAAGTCTAAAACTCAGAAACTTATCCAAAACTCGTTGGACAGCCCGAGCCGAAAGCATCAAAGCAGTGTGGACATCTTTAGAAGCAATTGTTGACACATTAGAATATATTAACAATTCAAATAGTTTTGATAATTTAACTAAAACAAAAGCTATCGGATTAAAAAAAAAAATTCTAAATTTTGATTTTTTTGTTTCATTAATATTTATGAAGAACATAATGTATAAAGTTAAACATTTGACAGAATCTTTAGAGGCCAAAGAACTAAATGTGTGTGATGCAGCAGTCTTAATAAAAAGTACAATTTCATCATTGGAAAAAATTAGATTGGAAACAGAAAACATGGACAATTTGATTAACAGTGCTAAAATTACAGCTCAATCATTTGGTGTTGATTCAGATACAGACTTTAATCGTTATCACCGAATCAGAAAGAGACCTAAGCGACTTGATGAAAATACTGACAATAGTGCTCCTTATGAATTGTTAAATTTTTACAGACAACATTTTAATTTAGTTTTAGATACATTGATTAATTTATCAAGTTCAAATTTAAATGTTTTTGTTGAAACAATTCAACCTATGTATAAAATATTAAGTGTTCCGTTGAAAGTGAACACATCACAAGATTTCAGTGAAGCCTTTTTTCTTTTCCCTCCTATGAGTCATGGAGCTAAGCTCTTAGATTATGATGCAGTTGCAGCAGAATGGGAAATACTAGCTACCCAATGTCTCAATGAAAATTTAAAATGTATAGATGTCCTTCAAAAATCAGAAGAAGTAAAACACATATTACCTTGTGCTAATTGGTTTTGCCGCCTTTCATTTACATCACCAGTAACAACAGCTTCTAGTGAACGGACTTTTAGTAAATTGAAACTTATTAAACAGTGTTTACGTTCTACAATGACTTCAAACCGTCTTAGCTCGTTGATGATATTGAGTTGTGAAAAAGATATTGTCGATAAATTAGATATAGATTCTGTTGTCACAAAATGGTCTTTGGCCAAACAAAGAAGAATAAATATTTAATTATATATTTATGTATTTTAGAAATATTTACTTGTATCTAATTTTTTTATTGATCATATTCTTAAATTAGTTGTACATTAATAAAAAAAAGTATTCATTTGTTTTTTAAATATCAAAATATGTTTCATTTAAAATAAATACCATTAAATATGAAAAATAAAAATGTACTTTTTTATTCAGTAGAATAAAAATCAAATTTGTATCTAGGTAATTAAATTTGATAAATAGAATTAAATATAATATATTATTTCATATTTATTTGATACCTAATTATTACTATAATATTTAGTATACAGTCGGCAATATTCACTCCAAACCCCCCTAAAAATAAACTCTAGGATCGCCCCTGGTACGATGCCTATCTGCTACCGTATTATATTTATTTAAGGCATTACATAATAATAAATATTAATTATTATGTCACAATCTACCTACTTAACGAATTATAATAACTAGTTACCAGTTACCCTAAGAGTAATGTTTAATTCCTAAGTTGAATAAAAAAGATTGATTGCCCTGTGTGAAAAAAATTAAAATAAATATTTTGATTATATAGGTGTTACTACTGTTACTTTATATTCATTGTAAAATTATAAAAAGTTGGAATTCTCAACATTTAATTACATTTATCACAGTGGTATATGAAAATAATAAATAAAATATAATTAGAAGGCTTAGTTTATTTTCGAAACAACATACATTTATTATTAAATTATTTACGTCCAGTAATTTAATATAAACATTCAAATATTTTTAAAGACTCATAGATTTAAATAAACTGTTGTATTAATTTTTGTATATTTAACACAATAATAAAAGTACCGGACTGCGAAAGGTATCATTCGACCGCCCTATGAGTTTTTTTATATTTTAAAATATAAAATATATAATGGGTATTAATGGCATAAACAGACGATAAGAAATTAATACTATACTGTTTTTATTCTGATTACCTAATTAGGAACATTTATTATTTTATTTTGTATCTAAATCAAATTAAATTATGATTATGTATTGAATAAAAATGAATGCTTATCATAGGTATCATATATTTTATTAACATAATATACCTAGAGTGACTTAATTATATCATAATCTCGTGCTGATTTCATGATCTTGAAGACATTGGCAATAGTTCATAAAGTTTATATCTAACGATGTAATGTTTTTTTAATTGTAATTAAAGTTTGAGTTTTGTTTAAATACGAGTAGCTTAATTCATGATATGAGTTTCAACGTAGGGATATATTTTGATTAAAGCTAATAAATTATTGTAATTTAAATATCAATAGTTAACTTTTAAATTTTTATGAGCTTAATAAAATTATAAATTTTTTTTGGGGAGTTATGAACGTTAATTCGTACATCTTACATTTTTCTGTAGTTTTCCAATTAAAATTTAAATATAAAATTTTAAAATTCAATAAAAATTTATTTTTGTAGGTATGCTATAAACAATATTCTTTTAAAATCAAAATCTAATATATCCGTTCATCCAGACTATGGTATTTAGAGTTATTTTTCTGTCATCTCAGTCATCCGTCATAGTCAATAACCACACATTAGAAAAACAAAAAATGCGCAATTAATATTCTTAATAAATTATACTTATACATCAATTAAAAGAACAATTTAAATAAATTAAACTTAACACTCGTTTGTGTTTTTTATGAATTCTGTGAAACATTTTATTTTAACATCACTTTATAATAATAGAGCTTTTATTAGATCAAAAAGCGATAGGTATTTAAAATTGTCAACAATTACAAGTTTTTATTATTAATTATAATTTTAACATTTATTTTGGTCGAAAAAGTTTAAAGTTGTGAGTAATATGAAAATCGAAACACGCCTGCTACGAATAATACAAGCGAAGAAACACAAAAATCAACGCACTATAAACTAAATTACTGAGGTCTGAGATGAAACATTATATTAATAAAATTATTATATACACTATACACATAACTGACATAACCTTCACGTCACGTTGCCTTATTATAGAATCGGGTTTTCAACGATACACATTTATAGATATATAACTAAGATTTAAAAAATCCATGGTAAATAAAATCCATAAATAATGTTGAAAACCATAACAATATTACATTTATTAAAAGTATGCGATTTTTTCAAATTATAAAAAAATCATAACTGGTTTTTGTCTGCAACAGTCTATTAACTATTTGGCGTTCAAAGTACCTACTTATCAATTTAAGTTTATAAAATCCGGATTTTTTTATTTGTCTAAAATATGTTTTAACAAACATATTTTTTTATACTATTTATACACAATTCTAAACAAACATATTATTAAACCATGTTACTTAATTCTTGAGTTTTGATAAAATGAGTTTTTTTTTTATAATCTGTACAAATATACTGTACCTACTGCAGCACACAATATTATACATTTATACATTTATACCATTTTAAATCTAAAACTGTTTAAATAACAAGACTGCACTTAAACATATAGGCCAGCGGTTCTCAATCTTTTTAGTACCGCGACCCAAATTTCCCCCTGACAAATCTTTAGTGGCCCACATGGTTTTACTTTTCAAAAAGTAGTTAAATAAAAAAAATTTTTTAATTTAAAATAATATAATATATTTCAATTTTTTAACAAAATTTGTTTATTAGGTTTAAATTATTATTTTTATTATTCTATAGGTATATAATCAATGTATTTTTACAAATGTACTTTTATTAATAATGATATATTTAATATTAATTTAACATACATTTCTTTGAATCTGTATAATTTAAAAAATTGTTCGCAACTCACCAACAATTGACCGACGACCCACCAGTAGTAGCGACCCACAGTTTTAGAAACGCTTATATAGGCTATAAGAACAGTTGTAATATATTTTAAGTAATTCAAAATAATTTACTATTATACTTACTTGCTTAAGACCCATTGTCTTATTCAATTAACCCATATAATTATTACCTAAAGGTAATATATACAAACAAAAACAAATATGAAATTCACTAATAAAATATTTATAATTTATAATACCTACTTATATATACAATTTTTTTAAATTAATTTATCATATTGTTATAGACTACAGTTAACATTGTTCGTGTAATATTAAATTATAAATTGTAATCTAACAATAATATAAGAAACGCACGTATAATTTATAAATGAAGTTTTTTGTTGCAGTATATTTCAATAATTAATGCTTTTACCGTCAAAATTCGTAATATTGGTTTGTTTTAATATTTAGAAATGAGTAAACTAATATTTTTTTTCAAAGTTAAATTAAACGCATTAACTATATCTGTTTCTGCTATTAAATCAACAACAAAGTAGTACAATTTTTATAGTTACTATGTATACATGTATAATAGGTATTTGCTTAATTTTCCATTTTTTAGGGAAGCGTCCGCTGTACAATTTAATAATTGAAAGTTGTAGACATGTTTTGAATGGAAATGTCGATTTATTTTTTATTTTTAGAATGCAGATTATCTATTGAAGTATTATTTTTAAAGCAAATTAAAATTATTTTAGGTATTTTAAGAACAAAATCCTTGACTATTTTAAACAATTTGTAAAAGATTTAATTTTAAAATAATGATTTATAAATCTGTGTTTAAAATTGAATAAATAGATAATCTTAATAGAGTTTACGATAAAAAAATTATTAACTCTATAATAAAATTTGTCAAAAATATTCCTAATTTTACATTTCATTAAATGTAGAATAAGTTAATTTTAGAAATTAAATACGTACGAAAGTATTATAAGCCATAATTAAAAAATCATAATATTATGTGGGATGGGCATTAAAAATATTTTAATACTTATTTAATACGAATTAAATTAGTTGAAGTTGGTGTTAGTTGTTTGTCTCGTTTCGTTCACCTCAGAACAGGATAACAGTAGTAATATATCTGTATATGTGAAATTAAATTTTAAAGCAATTTATAACTAACCATTGTTTTCGATACACAATTTTAAAAATTAACTCAATTAAAATCGTGTTAGCACTTAGCAATTAGGTAAGATTTCCTTAAAACCAATTTAAATGACATTTTTTCAATAATTTTATATAACACTGGGTTACAACTTTCAATTTTCAAAAACTTTTGAAATCCTATAATTGTATAGCGGTTTTAAGATTTGTATACGAATAGATATATACTATATATCAACTTACGTATTTATTCATTCAGATTTCTAACAAAACAATATCGTAATATCCTTAAATATCTTTCTCAGCTCATAATTTTATTATGTCAAAAAATACTTTTAGTTAATCATTTTTTGATATTATCATTATGTAATAGGATCGTGTCTTTTTAGAACATTAGTAATTTTTAACGATAATGTGTCATATTTTTTAACATACAGTTGTACTTAATAGTTTATTTTTCATGTTTCACTGAACTTAATATACCATAAAATTAAATGTAAAATAAACGACTCTTAATAATTCATAAATTAAATCAAAACCCTCATATTTAAATTACTTACATTTTATATATTTTTAATTATAAGTATTAAATTAGTAATTTTTTACTATGTTATTTTATAATATGTTATGTATACACGATAAATAATAACTGATGAGTCATCGATACTTATTCGGTGGGATGTAATACTCTATATTATTTTATTTCTACACATTATTGGCGTATCTAAAGGGTGGTGTATGGGGGACTTATTCACTTCCAAAATAAAAATATTTTTCTATTAATGTTTGAATATTTTGAAGTAAATATTATCATTGATTAAAATATTTTATGTTATACTGTAAATTGATAAAATTAAGTATCTAATATTATATTCCTATTCATACTATTTACTTATTATGCATCTCAAAAATATTGGTCTAGTTGCGCTTATGTTTCTTCATTTGTATATTTAATTTTCTATATTTAATAATAATATTTCAACGATAAGATAATGTGTTAAAATATATTTTATAATGTAACAAAAGATGAATACATTATTTTATGACTAAAACTTTTTAATATTATTA